CCGATGTGGGGATTCGAACCCGGGTCTTCGGCGTGACGAGCCAACGCTTTAACCACTAGGCTACCCCACCACCAAATGTGGTTGTAGCTGAGCAAGATAGAAAACAATGAAAATAAGACCTCATTCATTCATTCGTGCTTATTTTCATTCACCCATTTATGATTACAAAGCTATACTTGTGTTCATCCATTCATCACATGCTCACGTGGTTAACCTTGCCTTTTATTAATCATGTTACTAATATGTCATTTGAATATAATGAACATTATAATGCATGTAGAGTATTTATCACCAAATTCACAGTACTAATTTCAGATTAACACACACTGATACAACTACAAGTTATATCTACAAATGATATACATGAACAATAAATAAATAAAATATCCAAATTATCTCTGAATGCGATCCCAAGATCTGTTAAGAAAATCCACATGGAATGTTGCTCATGTGACGACTGAATGTGGAGTGACCACAAACCTTGTAATGGTAAAAGTGTAAAGCTTAACTGATTGCCCAAGCTGGCTATAAAGACAAAAGGACCTAAGTGGGGAAGGGCTTATGTTATTGTGTTGTGTGGCGAACATGCGGTGAGTGATAGTTAGTTAAGGCAACCTAAGTATCATGATAAAATAGAATGACTAAAGCTGAGCAATGAAATTTAAAGCATTTATTTACATGAATTCTAATCAATATGCAACATGTTAAAAATATCCAACATCTGCAAGCGCCACTGAAAGACATTGTTAAAGAGTGGGGTGGGGTAGTTGGTTTACGGGCGGAAGTCATCATACCAGCTTCTAGTTGCCATAACACCCCCAATTTAAAATTTAACAAATATAATGGAAAAAGCACCAGTTCAGCACTTGCTACCTATGCAATGTTTCACATCAGTTTTGAAAGCTCCAGAGCTAAGCTCCGGAAACATACCCGAAGTGATCACGTGCTCATGTGTCCGACCTGCCGACATGGAATAGCAAAAGCAAACATATAGCAATTTGTCTTCCGGTCTCTACCTCCCTATATGGCTGAAATATTGCCGAGGTGAGGTTAGACTTTAACTCACTTACTCACTCAATCTCTGTCTCATTATTATGTAAGTCCGCTTGCCTGCAGTTCAGCTTTGACCAAGCAGTTGGTCAGATTCCACCTTTCACACAAGTCGACTGTCCCATATTATTGGCGAAATCCTCTTAGAGTGAGTGAGGGAGTTTAGTTTTACGCCACACTCAGTAATATTCCAGCTATTCAAGTCTGGTCCAGACAATCCAGTGATCCAGTGATCAACAACATGAGCATCGATCTGCGCAATTGGGAACCGATGACATGTGTGAATCAAGTCAGCGAGCCTGACCACCCGATCCCGTTAGTCACCTCTTACGACAAACATGGGTTACTGAAGATCAATATTCTAACCCGGACCTTCAAAATCCCCTTTGAAACTAACACGAGAGCAGTTTACCATAAACTTCTGGGTATTGTAATAGGCGTGGTTTTCAGTAAACTACCTTTGCCCAGTGACAGCATGTTCCAACATACTACGTTAGCTATTACAGCATCAACCCAAATACACCCCATAATCAAACAACTCATAGATACCAACATAAGCCCTAAACTTCATGCGCTTGCTCGCAAGATCTCACTTCTAAACCCAATATAGCCACCCATAACAACCTCATAACTGGACACAAAAATAAAGCTAAAACAAAACACCAATCCATCGGGTATCATCACTCCTAAACTAACAATTCTTAAAATAAACACAAATCTGTCCTCCGAAAAAAACCCACACCGACAAACCCCAACATCGCCAAAACACTACAGCAGCTTATATACATGAACACTGGCCAAGTTGGCGCCATATTTACACATATGGATCCCTGACATGCCGACCAAGCAGCCAAAGCGGCACCTAAATTCCCAGAAGTTAACATACCATTATTATAAACATTAATTAAGGAACGTCCCTTTCGGTTGCCATATCTTCATTATATACTGAATGGCCTGGCGGGCTCTTGTTCGATCCGCCCGGAGACGTTAAAGTATGGTACTTGTTGGTCCCTGCCTGACGCTCGGCATTAATGGGTACAACAAGGACTGGTCGGCTCGGAGTCAGTATAATGTGTCTGAGTAGGGTATTCATGCTTCACTGCGGCATGGTATCTTAGTGGGCTAGCACTATAAAACCAGCTTCAGTCTGGGCTACTACAAGCAGCCGCACATACACATACACACGCATGCACGTCGTCATATGAGTGAAATATTCTCAAGTACGACGTAAAACCCAATTTCACCTCACCTCACCTCTTGTTCGAAGTAAGCAGTATGTCGGAAGGCGCACGTAAAATCTCCAAATCATCACCATCAAATATATTCGTATACCCTGGGGACCAAGTGGCGGATGATTTCTGTATAAAGTTAGCTGGGTTTGGGCTCATATTTATGTATATGTGAATGGGTGAGTTAAAATTTAACGTCACCTCGACAATATTTCAGCCATAGAGTGACGAGAATGGTTTTACATACACAATAAATACAATTTGCTAAATAACCAGTCGTCAAAGGACTGTAAAATAACTGTAGTATCACAGATGGTGTCTAAAACTAGCTATTAAATGTCAAAATATTTTATTTACGAAGACAATACAAAATAAAAATGGGCTATAGGTCGCCAACAACTGAAAGTAGATCACCATACTAGGGACCATGGTACTTACAGTGCCTTTGCTACCTGCGTGGACTTATGTATATGTAGATACATGTAGCTGTATAGGAAATAGATGAATGAAGGTAATTAATGCACTGATAAAATATATTTCTCAGTAAACAAACAAATAAACGTGCAAATTAGTGTGATATATAAACCAGTCGTTCATAATTAGTATACAAGTATATTGATATATTTAGATATTCTACCAACTATGATGCTAGTATAATTTTCTTTTCAATTCATGAAATCATGTCATCAATTCAAAACTAAATCTATAACCAAAGCAACTGTCAATCACTAGTTAAATATACACAAAGAGCTTAATTAAGCATCCCCTGTATTTTTGCAAAGATAGGTTTTCAAGACGTACATAAAATTTCTCGTGGTGACCACGATGTAAAAACGAGTTTTTCGGACCCGTACGGTCCTTCGACTCATACAAAACGACAATATGATGGAATCCATGTTGATTTTATGATGATAATTGCTCATTTTAAAAAAGCATTGATTTTCATACAAAACCATGTCTGTACAAGTATGGCCCTGGAATGTTTAATGTCGAATTTATTTGTGAATGAGAACATTTAAAGTGTCATATTGCATGTCTTACACGATGCAAGGTCAATACCGAGTGTAACCTCCATGTGACTGTGTGACAGCCAGCACTCTCCTCCTCATACCCCTGTCAGCCTCCTGATCCTCCGAAGGGCCAGTCTACGCCATTCCTCTTGTAAAGCAGCTCCAATTGGGCCAGGATCTGTACAGGAGGATCCCTATGTTGTACACGACGACCAATCATGCCCAGATATGCTACAAAGGGCATATTCAATCTGCACTCTTGGATCATCTGCAGAAGGTGTTCAAGGTCAAATGTTTCTCTGTCTGAGCAGTTAAGCTTAATTTGATGGTTCTGTATAGCTGAGTCATTGCTGGGATTTTATTGCCACAAACCAGTCGCCAGGGCAACCAGACCGACAGTTCTCCATTCCGCTATGGTTTTCCTTGCGCATGGAGCGTACATTCAGCCAACCAAGGGCATCAGACGTACAAGGAAATGTTTGTTTCTTCCTACTGGGTAGTTTAATCCGCATACTTCAATATGCTTTTGAGCTTATGATGAATCTCGGCAGTGTTCGAAATAGCTACTGGCCCGCAAGCCAAATGCTAGTTGATTGTGAATCGGGCCAGTAATATATTGTTAAAGCTATCCCGACTGGCTAGCTGAAAATCTCAGATGATTTGTTCTTTATCTAATGCACACGGATGTGATGAAATCAAGTAATAAGAGTCTTGTGATATTTGTTATCTCTTGTCACACATAGGTCGCTAAATAAAACTGTTAGTAGCGTTGCGCAAAGATGTTTAAAACCATTACAATAAAAATGTATCTTGTAACGTCTTCAATTACCAAACATCACACCAATTCTGACAGATGTGCATTTTGATATTTTGCTGGGCCAGTGAAGTATGATGTGGGCTAGCAAAATTTTTACTTAACAAGCCCTCTTGGCCAGTGACTTTTCAAAATTAATTCATACACTGAATCTCGGGGACAGATATTACAAATTTAGAAAAACAGATGGATCCGCTTATTTTCGAATTCCAGCGGGTCGTTCTGGGTAGGGACAGTTTCCCATCCTCCGTCCTTCTGTCCCCCTGACAGCCCTCCCTGGGGCCAGGTAGACCCTGTATAAGTGCCCTGTTTTATGGGAGGTGTGACTGTTGTGGCATGTCTTGACGTTCTCTGTCTGATTGTACAGACTCCACATTGAAATAACTCTGACATTTTGTGAGTATGTAATTCGGTACACATGACAGTTCGCTTTATGACAAATGTTGTTATTGACATTATATAAACAAATATCAACCAATTTCTTTTACAACATCCCTGACTATTTAGATAACACTTTCTCAGTGAAGAACAGATGCAAGTACTTTGTTTGGTTTGTTCCAGACAGACAGACAGACAGATATTTTATTTAAGTCTCACCTCATGTAAAAGTACAGGTATATACACACATATACATAAAATGAGCCACCCTCTAAGGGTTATGAGAGACTATTACATAGAAGTGACATATATGATAAAAGTAACAATATGAAATTAGCCGTATAAAAGATGTTTTCTTCTTTGAAGTATATAAAAGCAGGTTTTGGCTGTAAAATAAACATGTTCTTTAAATAGTAAAATCATTTTTTCATTATCACATAAATCTAGGAAGTTGGGAGAACTGAAACACATATGGCCATATAAACTTTCACGTAGGTCATCGTACAGCGGACATTCAAACAGTACGTGGCGTTCATCCACAATCTTATCACTACATTAAAAAAACACACCCTTTCATTTACATTCATCTTTGAATATTCCATGTGGATTCGAAACTACCCTGTTTCTGTGTACACTGGAAATCCTGCAGCGTGTGCCAAGTTATATTTATCAGAGGCACGCAAAGTACGTGATATAGACTATCAGTTGTCCGACCTTCTAGAGCGCTGGCTGAGTGGGTTAGATCACAGACTTTGTGTGTTGGTCTTTAGGTGCCCGACTCTGATTACCTCAGTAAAATACCACTGACGCGGTACCATTGCTCACATTTACTGGTCACTACATTCCCTTGACCCCAGTGTGGTTTAGTTGGTCAGTGAGTTTGGTTTCACACCGTAAAACTCCGTTGTGATGCAAGCATTGGATACTTGTCACTTTGATGAAACCCACAAGCAAGGCTATGATATATCAACAAACACAGATATATGGTCATGGCGAACCGGGATTCGAACCTACGACCATAGTTGACTGGTCCGCCATTGGACACATATTTCAACAGACAACTGGACCACCTGCGCCCACCTATCTTGCCTACTTACTTGCATTGTATCCAAATTCATTGTAACTGATTTATTTCGTTTATCGACGACAACCAATACATCGGCAGACCGAATATCCCCTTGAAGACCCGGGTCAGAGTCTTGAGTAATCACGGCTCGCCAACATGGTTCACGCATAGATGTGAGTCTGGCGTTAAACAATGAACCAACAAACACATAGAAATGATTCATTGTTATACACTTTGAGCAATCAGCATCAATGGTTAAACAATGATATCATATTTTTTGACGCAACAGCATCCAGTCCACATCGAATGTACCTCACTGGTTTCAAAGTTACAACCAGTTCATATCTTCAAGCTCCTGTGTCTCCTGTGTCTCGGAGAACCTACACCATAAACAAAATGTAAAGTCAGGCCTCGTTAATCCGAACACTTCCGTTTTTTCATCAAAAACGTTCGGATAGTGAAACGGACGGACTACTGAAACGAACCATTATGGACGCCACTACAGTAGAGTTACTTCCCTTTGACATACCGAGACAAGAACATAAGACTGACTGACTGAGTTTGGTTTTACGCCACTTTTAGCAATATTCCAGCTTCACACATTGTATCCATGTGGGGATTCGAACCCGGGTCTTCGGCGTGACGAGCCAACGCTTTAACCACTAGGCTACCCCACCGCCCCAAGAACATAAGAACGTATACATGTATCAAATGACTCTATTACAGTTTGTATACATAACAAGTCGAATATTAATATAACAATCAATCAATCAATCAAGGCATATAATAATGTCTGGATACAGTATACGTGTAACAATCAAAACACAGAAACTCACTCGGGTTGAAAGAAATTGCCAATGACAGTCTGCTTGGAGAGTGGCTTGAAAGATGCACACATGCTGACCATTGTCTCTAAGTTCTTGGCATCTCCAACACACTCGACATAATTGATCATACAGTCCATATAAGCTCTCATTTAGCTGACAGTAGGGGGAGGTGTAGGTTCTGGCTCATCGTCAGATTCGTCTGGGTCGCCGTTGTCGGCGCTTGTGACCATCGAAACAACATCATCTGATTCCAGCGATGGGCTGATTACATTATAAACATACAGGATTTACTACAACTAGAAAAGGGTTTTTGGTCAACAGATAATTGCACAATGTTAAAGACACACATTGGACATTATAACAAAATGCTTCATATAAGTTTAAAAGATTACATACGAGAAAGGAATGGAAAAGTTATCATCGTATAATTTTATCGTAACATCAAAACTGCTTTGGGTTACGAAATATACTTGGATATTTTGCATCGGGACTTACAGAATAACTCTCTATGCTCAGAATACCTGTTCACAAAAATAGGCAGTTATGCTAATGTCAGTATTGACTGTGGATACTACGAGCTATCAGACTCTCTGAAATTGATTTTATCAATATTGAGTTCCAATACCTATACATATATCCAAATTAAAGTAATACAGGTAAATATTTTACTGAATATGACTGACACAAACAATGAGAAGATAAATTTATAATAAAGTGAAACAGTTGCTAAAATGTAATGATAAAATTAGTAGTATTACCATAATCATCGCTAAATATATCAAATCCTCCTTCAAAGCAATCTAAAGCCCCATTTGCCTTAATCCCGTCAGTTTTGAACCAAGTCGATATGAACCCCTGGTAGTCCGAACTCCTTTAGTTATAACCCCTGTCGATCCGAACCCCATCAGTCTGACTCCCTGGGAGGCCCTCCTCCTGAAGGGTCTGCGTATGTAGTAAAAGTGAAATAAATCTAACCTTTTGTAGCAACTCATGTCCATTATATATCACAAGTGGATTCCGGAGAGAATAAAATTAATTTCAACAGAAGTAAAATACAAATATCTGATAAATTATTATTGATTAAACAGTCAAAAAATATTCAGCTGTATAGTCTACACCTCTATTAGATATACCATTGTCATGCGAATATTGTATAGTGAAATAAAGTACAAGGCACAGTCGTAAGGCAAACAGGCGACTTGAATATTACGCTGGCCACACACATGCCAGTTATGGATAGCATATTTCTATATGTGGTCTTAAACAACGATCGCCCGAGTATTTAGAACATATTTGTTGTTATACGTGGATTAGCGTTTATACAGTCCTGTGAAAATGTATAGCGTCTAGGCACCGTTCATAATCCATGGCCAGGAGGGTGATGATGATTGTTATGCAGACATATTTTATGTACCAAACTGCTGACACTTCCCCTTAGTACTTGTGTACAAACTTGATGACCCCTAGCTCCCCAAAACAAAATGGGTGACCCCCCTTAAAATCATCAGATCAACCCCTCACCCCCCTCTAGCCATAAATTATGGACGGTCCCTTAGAGTCAATGTACAACTGAAGAGGTGTAGCGTAGATAAGCTAGTGAAAAGGCGGATATAAAATTGATTCTGTGGTTAGAGGTCAGTGACAAAGGGAAACAAACGCTGCAGTAAGTGTACGACAGGTGAAAGATGATATAACTGATCGTTGAATGCACCCATCCTCTTTCACCACTTCACACACAAACACTTCACTCGTGATGTCTCTTAAATGGCATTGACATATGAATATTGTAAGGATCCAACGAAAGATTTCAGTTTGGTTATACAGGAATATACATGGAACTACAGGAAAGGAAAACTACATGCACGCATCCTCTTTCACCACTTCACACACAAACACTTCACTCTTGATGTCTTCTGAATTTTACCAAAAAACATCGTAAGTATCCAATACACAGTGACCGCAGTTTGAATATTCAACATGTGAAAAACACATTGTAACTATTCAATACACACGTTATGACAAAATGTTCCTTATTTAATTTCCCTTTACACTTCAATTACTAAAGTTGCCGATAATTAAGGCAATCAAACCGTTCGTGTCAGATCCTATTTATACATTTCTATATTTCTGAGCTCCTGCATGAAATCATCACCCCTTGTGCATCTATGTCTATTTGATATATCCGCTCCTACATGTTCAAACTAAAATATGTATACTGAGTTTTGCTTTACCACACTGATCTAACGTGTCTTTTCCCAATTCAGTACAAACTTCAATCTGCAGATTGTACAGTTCCACGCTGAAAACAACGTACGTTTAGCTCGTGCTTAAATTTCATTCTATTTTTTCTCTCCAAAATCAAAGTATAACTTACCTGCAGCAGCACGTGTGGTTGATGGGTCAGCTGGGAAATGGTAGCCTCAATTAAAAATGTCGGAGTAAAACCCATACACAGCGAATCTGTTGGTGGAGCGGACAAAGTGATCGTGGTGTAAACAGGTTTTTCCCGCTTTGTAATCACTGCCAGGGATGTCCACCCAGTGCACTGTAGCAGGAGTCATGCCACTCCTATCTACTTCAATATCTGTTACGTGGTGTTTAGTCAGTATGTTTACACACCATGTATAATAAACCTGTGCATTGTTGATGAAATACTTAACTGGAGTTACAACAACAAATCCATGATTATTTATGTTTGAGGGTTTTCTGCACAGGGTTGCAATGGCAGGTCTTGTGGTATTAAAATACAGTGTCTCGTTATACACGAGGTTTCGGCGATACACACGGTTGTCATCAAGAGTGAATGTAGATCCATTGTTCAGCCTAATTTCAGTGTCGCTCTGATCACTAACAACGTGTAGCTGGTATGTAGAGTCACTTTCAGACGGATAGTCATGTGTAGACAGAACATACTCTGTACCATGATGTCGTACAGGTAATAGTTGTGCAAAGGCTTGAGCATAATCTCCTTCCATTCCCCTACTGAACACAGCTACAGCACGAGTTGTGTTGACGACAGTTCCAGTCAGGTCATAGGCGCTCTTCAACGTGAATCGTGTCTCCGTCGTTGTATGTCATGTTGTCATAGGTGACGTTCCCGCCCAGCATCAGCGTTATGTCCACATCCGTCTTCTGGTTGTAGTTAGCAATCACTAACAACACGTGGTCCACGGATCCCAGACAGGTGGACACTACATACCTGGAACCTAGGGCCGAGATCGGGAGGGGAGAAAAGAGGCTATCTCTAGTTGTTGTAAGGATGCTACTTGAATCCTAAATCGTCCATTTTGAATTTATAATGAGGTCCATGGTTTGTGAGTCTATGTTTAGATGATGCGTCTTTGTCTCAGGTCTATAGTGAGATCTATGGTGTGAACATCTGGTGTTTCTATTTTTAGAATAATAAAAGGTCCCTCGAACAGCCCTCCATATCATTCTGACTTCAGTCGCCAGAGACAACGTACGGATCTTATGCTCTTGACTCTACTGGTTCTGATAGCTGTTTACCTCGAAGATGGAAGCCGTTCACCGTGAGAGTTGTGATAACGAAGCCCTGTTAACACTTCCAAATCCCAGATGCCATTTACATCTAGGGGACGACGTCTATGTGACAGCCAAGACATGGAATGGAAAACTAGAAATTCATGTGAGGAAGTACGAAGTATACCCGAGTGGCAAGTGCTACCCAACCAAACGAGGCATTGTGCTTACCTTGAAACACTGGCTTGAAGTGTCTAGTGTTCACATGCAGCTGAAACAGCAGGGAAGGTACTCACACGTCCATGTTGGAGGGAACATGTACGTTTCCTGGGACGACAATGGTATTGATGTGCGACAGTGGGAGAATGATCAGAAAAGTGGTAGAGTGATACCTACCAACCAATGTATTCTGTTGTCCCTAGATCAGTGGGAAAAGCTGGTAGATTGTGTAAGAGTCATGTCAGACTTTGTGCCAGAACTGAAGGACATGGTACCCTGTATGCTTCAGGACGATCATCAAAACCAGATGGGGTACTTCCAGTGTTCCTTTTGCAACCCTAGTGACTACAGTTACTGGGTGTAAAGCCATTCTTGGTTTAGACACTGTACTGTGTGGACGTGTTACCATTGGTCTGGGGTATCATGGATGTGTGTGGACATTACCCATTCGACAAGACTGTCGTTGCAGATTGCTGTGCAATCAAGACTGAATGGACTTCATTCCAGAAAAGACTCGATTCGTTTAAAGACTGGCCAGTGCAGATGAAACAGAGTCCTAGTCAAATGGCTCAGGCAGGATTTGTGTACTTAATCAGAGGGGGACGCTTGCAAGTGTTTTCAATGTGGTCTCGTTCTCAAGAACTGGGAAGTAGATGATGATCCCTGGGCCGAACATGAAAAATGGTCTCCACATTGTCCGTATTTGGCCCTGGTGGGAGTACCTCAGAAAGAGGTGACCCGTTGGGGTAGTCATGTGGATTTGCAACCAAGAGTGTGATGTAAAATGTGTGACTATTGGAAATAAATCAATGTTAAGAGTATGTCTGCCTTGGTTGTCTATGTATAGTATAAATAGAGGTTGACTCAATACTAATCTCACTGAGATCCCAACCGCGATAAGAGTTTGTTTGCTTGAAATAGTATGGCTAGGTACGTGTTGAAGCATTACGAATTTTTAAGGTTCATGTTAATGTTTCAAGACATTGAGGAGATTCGACAAGACATCTTAGAAATGAACAGAGAACAGATTCTTGCCATCAATGGTATTATCAATAGGTTATTAAAGGGAAGATTACCAGTGACTCGATATGAAAGGCGTCGTTTCCTGAGGAAAAATGATAGAAATAACTATCTAGCGGTGTTACGAAGATTAGTTCACCCCCTGTGGACGACAGACAGTAGGTGGAAGAGTCTTTTTGCCAGCAACATGCCAATCGTAGTATTTGTTTTGAAACCACAGTTTGTCAATGCACTTAGAGATGAGGCCATTCAAAATGCCTGGTTGTATGATAGAGCATTGGCTTAGTATGTTTGGTACACCTGGTTTAGTTTGTCATAGTAGTGCATCCGAACCATCCTGGCAGCGACGTTGAAAGCTATACCAAGCCTAAGGTCAATGAAGATATCTATATAACAGGCCACAAGGACTATCTAACTTCATTTAGCCGTGGACCAGTGACAGTGATGCATCACCTCAGACCGCTCCCGTTTTCATCATGAATAATCCACGATACAAACTCTTCGTACCGGATGCCGAAAAATGGACACGATTTTACATGCTCAGGGCTGAAGGGAAAGGAGACCCTTATCATTCTATAACACGTGGAGGAGAAAAATCTGCCATGTTGTCTGTTGAACGATATTTGGAACTGTATGATCCAGAGTGGAAGAAAGACAAACAAAAACCAGAAACCACAGAACAACCTAAGATTAATTTCGTTACCCCTACTCAACAAGTGGTCGAACAAGCTAAAAGCCAAGTTAAAGAGAGAAAGGGAAAGTGCCATCAATAGGGAAAACACAAAGCGAATGAAAACATATTTTTAAATAGAGACAAAAGGCTAAATGTGTCATTTGTAGTAGGACTGTTGACGTGTGAACATTATTATGCATCCCTGTCCCGTATGCTCCAAACAATATGTTTGGGCTCATGACTTGTCCCGTCATATTCGAACAAAACATCCAAAAGATATCAAGCAGCAGCAGCAGCAGCAGCAGCAGCAGCTGTCACCACCCTCTCCTCCTGCTCCTCCTCCTCCACAGCAGCAGCAGCAGCAGCAGCAACCACATTCGTCAGAAAGTATTACCCAGTCATTGGAAGAATGTAGACTGATTCACCCCTTCACCATGATTGTCTCAGGGCCCACCTCCTGTGGGAAAACCTACTTAGTGAAACAGATTCTAGAAAGGATGAACATTAAACCTTATCCTGAACGTATTATATGGCTCTACAAACGATGGCAGCCCTTGTATAATGCCATTCAAACCCATGTTTATCCCTATGTGGAATTTCATCAAGGCATTCCTTCTGATCTCGAAAAGGATGCATTTCTGGACCCCCATGTGGTGAACGTGGTTATCCTCGATGACTTAATGTCTACTGCCAGCAAAAATCCACGCATTACAGATCTGTTTACGGAAGGAAGTCATCATCGTAATCTCTCAGTGATCGCCTTGAACCAGAATTTGTATTTCAGTAAGGATCCCACACAACGAAGAAACTGTCATTATCTGCTTCTGTTCAACAACCCTATCGATCAACAACCCATCATGACTTTGGCGAGGCAAATGTATCCAGGTAACACAGACCATTTCATGGAGCCGTTTCAAAGGGCTACCCAGAAGCCTTATGGCTACTTGTTGGTTGATCTAAAACCCCAAACACCTCCCCATAGGCGACTTTGTCCCAATGCATTCAGTTTAAAAGGACACCTCCAAGCCAGGGCAATTCAGTCCGAGTTAGATGTTCAGCGTGAGCAGACGTGTGAAGGAAACCTCTCAACCATGCCAACTTGTGATGCCTGTGGACTCGTGTTTCAAGATGTGCAAGATTTGCAAAAACACAGAAGAAACTGGTGTCCCCCGAAAAGTCTTCAGTGGGTCCTCCTGGGATACCCCAAGTGAAAAGGCAGTGGGAGGAAGACAACAACTTCTCACCTGTGAAGAGACCACGTCCTCTGGTGGATTGTGACTATTGTGGTCAAGTGTTTAGCACTAACCATAACTTACAAAGACATTTACACGATAAACAATGTCCTGAAATGGAAAATGAGGACGATGATGTTGAATCATTAAGCGATGTCACACACAACAGGAAAAATAAGATGGTTGATCTCGAAGAGCAAGGTATAAGACAAATGTATTCACGTACGCGTGAGCTCAATAAAGACTTTTTTGGATGAGAAACGACAGCTGTACATAAAAAGAGGTTTAAACGAAGACATGATTCAAGCCAAACTGAACAAATTGATCTGGAGCACGTTTAAAGAGACGTATGCCCGATTTATTACTTATCTGTACCATATGCAGGATGGTCCAAAGACACAAGGAATACTGAAACGAGTAAAAGACACAAATAATATGTATCATGAAGTGATTTCAAAATTGTACCAATATAAGTCTTGGGTCGAAGGCATGACCGAAGATGAAGACATAACATCTGATGAAGAGAGTGAAGGACAGGTGGATGATGATGAAGGGTAATAAGACAACAGATGTAAAGTAGGCATTTGGGAGAGCTCCTATCCTAATGTCTACTCATTCGAAACGGAGCTAATAAACAATGAAATCTGTATATCTCTCTTGTTTCTTAATGTATTGTACCCCTGGGTTACCCTTCAGTAACCCATGCTTGTCATAAGAGGCGACTGACGGGATCGAGTGGTCAGGCTCGCTGGTTGACACATGGCACATGGTGTAGAATGACGCTCATGCTGTTGATCACTGGATTGTCTGGTCAGGCTCGATTATGTACATTATGTACAGACCACCTCCATAGAGCTGCTGAGAGTGTACTAGACTCACTGAATGTATTGCTGTAGGATTGACTGTTGTACAATTCTTGGTTTTTATAATACCAATTTCAACCCTATTTCACTGAATCCACATATTCTTAACATGATCATACTATTATCAGACATACAAGTTTCAGTTTAAACGTCATTCCTGTTGATTGAATACAAGATAACCACTGTTTCAGTTCATGGTATTGAAGATAACAACTGTTACAGTTCATTGTATTGAATACAACAACAATTTTAATGATCTGTAATGAATATATTTATATACATATATATTAACGGTTTATAAATACATAAGCTATTACACTAGTGTTGTAAAGCCATTTTTGGTCTACAAAGCCGTTTTGGACATGTAGCCGGTTTGGACATGTAGCCATTTTGAGTCAGAACCGTTTGCGAACCGGTTTGATAGACCCTTTTGCGATCCAGTTTGACAGAACCGGTTTTAGGCAGGGGCTGTTGGCGCCAAGCTTGAATGCTCTTTGTTCACCGCCGTGTGCAGCCGGTATGTTGTGCTGTGCGTG